TCCTAATACATCCTATCTAGCGGTCATGCGAGAAATCGGGCAGGCTTATGGTACAACTAACTTCTATAAAAATGTTAGTAATGATTTCTCGAAATCTAGCAAATTATTCGTGATGATACGTGGCCTATCGCTTCAATGTGATAATAGAATTTCAACTCCATCAACTGGCACATTCACTTATTTGAATCATTCCATAATTTTTTATCATGACATAGTGCACTTTAGAAATTCATTAATCTTCAACAGTCGGACGCTAGGAGTATGTTTGCCATTAATCCAGGATACTTATCCAGATTAATAACAGCAGTAAACACTGCAAAGAATAATAGAAAAACCTTCAAAAATGTTCATCAGACTCCCTTGACCTTTGCTGCCCAATTAATAATTGAGAACCGTGCAGACATACAGTTCTCTCATTTAATTTTTGCTGCTCTAATAGTATGATGACCAAAAACACACAATGTTGATGGACGCAATCTGAACAACATATCCGTAATGCACGGTAATGTCTTGCTATAAAGAATGGTAACCACATCATTGTGGATGATGTTCTCAGAATTTTCTGAAAACTTTACTACTGAGGTTATTTGGTAGAACGAAAAACTTCAGTGCGCATGTTTTTGTGAAAATAACTGTAAATTGTGCACTTACCGTGCCTCTACACAAGGACAATGCTGTGCATATGTTATTCGGAGTAACGTGTCCGAAAACCTTTAACCTTTTTGCCTGCATCCATGCAGTCAGAGAAGCTGAGAGGGAAAAAGCATCATTTGCTTTCACGGTCCACAAAGTTATCATGAAACTTATTACCGTGAGATTGAAGCATGTTTGTAATTCAGGAACTATTAGAAATCATTAGTTTTATTCATTTGTAGGTAACCTCTCGCTCAATCATCAAGTTCTTGATCGATTATGGACACCGAATAGCTGTTTTATAAATAGCAAAGTTGCCCAAATTCATGAGTCACCGTTCAGGTATAATATAAGTTTGAACACAGTTTCATTTCTTTACTTTGCTATTAAGGAGCGTTTTTCTAATGCTGTTTCCTAATGGTAGTGTCATGGTTAATTATCGTGTACGAGTAAAAGGGCCTTGCTCACTAGAGCTTAGCAATTTCCCGCTTGATTTGCAAAGATGTGGGCTAATTTATGAAAGGTACCAATTTAAATGTATTACTCGCTCATGAATCCCACAAAGTGATTGCAGTTTCAATTACAACAATCAAGAGGTTCGGATGCGGTGGTCTTCAATGGATCAGCCAGTTCGGCCAATGGCCGAGATCGTATTGCCAGACTTTGATCTCTTCAAGATTTCAGCAAACAGGATAGAAGAGGTATTTCGGCCTTCGTGGATGTTGAGTAATCCTCAATTATTTGCGATTTCTTAAAACTGTATCATCTCCAATTCTTTCCATACTTACTTTCGTTAAACCAAAAAAGAGAAGTCTCTGCTTTTAGCTATCTAGCGTTTATGCAAAGGTTAGCTAGCGAATTTTGAAGGTAATTGGATAAAAAATTTGGATTTCTGAGTCGTCTTTATAATATCAAATAGTGTAACAGTTTGCGTTTTATTATGATGAACGAAAAAATCGAGAAACTCAGGAAATGCGCAAAACAAAGCTGGTCAAAATAACACACTTTTCTTATTTTTACTACTCACTGCTTTATATGAATTCCCATATTTCTCTTAAGAGTCTGTCTTTAATATACCCCATGACTATATTGGTCAAGCTTTGGAAAAACATATTTCACTTCTCAAATCCAAAAATAGTGTTATTCTTATTATGTCCCA